TATATATATTAAAAAAATATATATTTCATAATATTTCTTTGCATTTTTTCATCTAATTTGAATTCACTAGTTATTCTCATATTAAATTTCGTTTTTAGCTGCCTGCAGGGTATGTGCTAGTCGATCACAGCCCAACTGGCGCTACGTATTGCTGAAATGTATTTTAAAATGGTTGAGCTGGCGCCACTTTCTGTCCATTTGCTAGGCCCATTTAAAGCGAGTTCTGCTGCTTACATTTTCGCACTTGTCAACGGGCGAGACAGTGCGGAAGACTGGCACGAGAGATGGTTGGAGAAAGACAGGGAGTGAGTGAGAGCGAGAGAGTAGGGAGAGAGCATGAGCTAGATAATTAGACAGACGCGTTAATTGTGGCACTTTCAAATGCTAACGCACAGCCTGCTGAGGCAGTTTGCGTCATCAGGCAGCTGCCACGCCTCAAATGTGACATATAAAGATGCCAGCATGATATGCGCTTATGCAAATATACAAAAATATATACATATATATATATATATGATTTCTGTTTATCTGTGTTTGCCTGCGCTGCTGCTTTTGCTAATGTCTTTTGACAAATGAGCAGCCGCAGCGACGGCAACAGCTACAACTGCCACAGCTCCTAGATAGAGTCCCCCTCCCTGGCTCCTACTCCCCTCTCTCTCACTCTCTCCTGCTGTTGCCATCTGCTTTGTCAGTTGTACTTATTTTGGTGTCGTTGCTCGCCGTTGCTGTTGTTGTTGTTGTTGTTGTTGTCGTTGTCAGGCTGCTGTTGCATTTTAAGCCGCTGACATTTGTCTAGCCTGCAGCTATGGCTAAAGCTTTTGGCTTTGCTCTGATCTGTATTGGGCCACACCCAGCCAGCCAGCAGTCGTGGAGTGCTGTGCGGCACCTGCAACACGCCTTGTTGTTGCTGTTGTTGTTGTTGGTGTTGCTGCTTGACATGTTTGCATTCTTATTACATTTAAAAATAATTTCCATTTCCATCATTGCGTTTTTTTATTGTTATTTATTTTCGCTTCCTTTTTTGCATTTTGAGTCAGCTTCTCATTGTCAGGTCTGTTCGTTATTGATGTATGATCTTGATTTCCGCACAAAATGTACAACGCATGTTTTATGACAAAAGATTGCTGCCTCGCCACGCCCCTGCCGCCGCTAGAGCGCCTCTGTAACTCCTGATACGTTAATGCTTTCTGTTGTTATTGTTGTTGTTGCTGCTGGCATTGGCGCCTCCATCAACTGCGTCAGTTGGAGATTTGCAATGTGAATGCGCTGCGATTGTTGTTGTTGCTGGATATGGGATGTGTGTGGGATGTGGGGGCGGCTGCAGCAGCTGCTGACTGTCGCTTTGTTGCCAATTTTCAATAAGCTTCAGCTGCGGCGCATTGTTGACAACAATTATTGTTGCCAAGAATTACTTGCAGTAGCTTTTTTTTCCAGCTTATTGTTACGAAAAAGTTTACATGAAAAGTCACACACACACATACATGATGCCAAATGCCATGGAAAATGTCATTGCGTATTGAAATGTGGCAACAATGTAGTGAAAGGCAGCTGAAGGGGGGCGCTGTGGCAAGTGTAAAGTAGCAAAAGTTTCTGTTAACGAGGCTAGTGCGGATTGGTTATTGAGAACTGGAGAGGATATATTACAAATAATTATATTGAATTTGTTTTTATAATATGGAAATAAATTTCTTTATAATTTATTAACAATAGAGGGAGAACTTAATGTCTCAAGACTCTCTAGAAGAACTAGAAGAAGAATTATATACAATATTATATTCTCTTGTTATATAGACAAAAAATTCTTAATAAAAAAATATAAGAATAGCAACTTATATTTATATTGAATGAATTCTGATTTAAGGTATAGGAAAACATTTCTTTATAATTTATAAACAATATTCTCTTTTAATATATAATCAAATATTTCCTTATAACTCTTTACTACATTCTATTCTATTACAAAATAGAGAACAAATATTTCCCAGTAATTTATAAAAAATAAAAGAACAGCTACATATAATTATATTCAATGAATTCTCTTGTTTGGTATAGAAAAACATTTGTTTATAATTTATAAACGATATTTGAAGACTTTATATATTTTTATGAGGAGTATATCAAATCCTCTTAATATACTCTTACAATGTATAAACACGTCATACAAATATTATGTAAGCAGTATAAAGATTAACAGTTAGACATACAATTCTTCAATTATGCTGCACGCACTTATCACTCGATCAGTGAAATTTGTAAATTGAGGATAAGAAATCAATAAAAAACCTATTTCATTAGTTTACTTAATGCTGCTAATCCAATTGTAATGCTCCTTGTCAACTCAAATCAATCTCTCTCTTAATCCAAGTCTATCACTCAATAGCTGATCTCAGAAGTAAACTACCCTTGAAACTCCAGCTCCCTAAATCAACTGCCCAATCAATTGTGTTTTCTTCTCTCTTTTCTTTCTTCCTCTTCTGCTATACTCCAATTAGCTGTGGGTTGTTTAACATTCACTCGAACGATAAGAATTGAGCACAGACTGTGGCAGGCAGGTGCAAAAACAACTATTTTGCGCACAGGTAACAGATCCTGCAAGAGAAACCTTAAGATTTTGCAGGATTGTGAGTGTGTATTATAAGGGAGAGCATGCTCAAATTACCGACAGTAGGCAGTAATAGGGGTTGCTCAACGATCGTGAACAGGATATGGGCACAGCTCAAGTACCTGTGTCCTTGTGCGACAGGACACTTGAGAGCAGCTGCACGCAGCCTGTGAGCGGCTTCGCTCTCTTTGTGGTGCGCTTATTGATTTTTCTCACATGTCACAAATCGATTAGGGTCTATCGAAATCTCTCGTTCTTTCTCTCTGTTTCTCTCTGTTGCCTGCATTTGCTCTTCTCTCTTGTGGGAGCACTGGAGTTATGCCTGTCTGAAGATCTGGGATCTGGGATCGGGCAACGGCAGATGGTCGCAGATAATAGCGACTACGACACAAGTGGGCCGTTGACCCTGAGGGGTAGCAGTCGCTACAGTAACAACAACAACAACAACAACAACAACAACAACGAAAAGCGAAAAAGGATGAGCATGCATGTTAATATTGACGCAAGGTGGAGCTTGGAGCTTGGAGCTGCCTCTGCTCAGCTGCCTTTGCAGTTCGGGTAGCCAATTTATTAACGAATTTTTCAACGAACCGGGCAGACGACCGAGCAACAATGTTGTTGTTGTTGTTGTTGTTGTTGCTGCTGCTGGCACGCATGCGCAGCAACGACGCAACGTTCATTGCACCCAAAACAAAAAAAAACTCTAAAAAATACAACAAAAATATATAAAAAGAAGAACAAAAAGAAGAATGAAATTTTCGTTGGGGTTTTATTGTTGTTGTTGTTGTTGTGTTTTTACGACAACGACTGAGAACCGGATGGTCTGGCAGTCCGCATTGCTTGTGGAGAATGAGAGAAGTGAAGGTATGGAGGCTTGGGGCATCTGGCTGGCGCTGAGTGGGGCTGGGGAGAGGAGGTCAGGTACAGGCAGCTATGGCCAAGGGGGGGAGGCAATCGGGGTCGTCAGACGCTGACCGTTGCGGCTTATGGCCATTGCGAGGCGTTCGTTGTGCACATTTTGTTGCCTGTTGTTGCAAGTTGTTGTTGTAGTTGTTGCCTTGCGGGAGCTCTCCAACCTATCCCAAGTTGAGTTTTGACACGCATCAGCCCAGGCATTGGCTCGCACTGGAGTGTGCGGCAGGCGCAGTTTAAATATTTTTAATTGAACTTTTGCCTCCAGACATGCACAAAGAGACAAAGAACAGCAACAGCAACAGCAACAACAACAACAACTATGCGCCTTAACTTTGTTTGTCGAAAACCGCAATAGGGAGTGCAAGTGCTGTGGCTTTGCTCTTGTGGTTATTGATTAGATATATATCAGAAAAAAAAAACACGCCAAAAACTATTTATAGACAAAAAAGCTGGCCTCTTGATGATATATACAACAAATTTGCTTGTTAGATGATTCACATTTGAGCAGAGCTGAGCTTGAGCCGAGTTGAGCTAATTACGCTTAGGGCTTTAATGAGCTGCTCAATGAGCCCATGACCAATTATAGCTGCTGAATGGTGCAATTGAATCAACTGTTAAAAAATAATTTGATATGCTTTATATAGTATACTATATAGTTGATGTGATTTATATAGTACATATAGCTCAAAAATCATTTTGAAATGTAGTAGAAATTAATTGCTATAAAAAATTGTCGAAGTAGAATGAAAATGCTTTAAGCAAATATTTTTGAATATTAACGAATTAAAAGTTTAAGCATTTTAATATATTAGCATTTAGCTTTGAATATTAAATAAAATAACAAAAAAATTCAAAGTAGTTTGAATAAAAATTGTATGAAATTATTTATTTGCAGTATTAATATATGTTGAAAAAAAAGTAGAATAAAGCAAAACAAATTTTAAATAAAATCTTTTGATAAATAGTGTAAACTTTAATATGCTTCTAAACACATTTTAGCTGCTATAAATACATATTAATA